TAAGGCTCCCGTTGCCTCCTGCCAACCATCACTGCCGTCACGATTCCTCTCAGCCATGTCTCCTGTTACTCCACATCCGCCCACCAGGTGTCCTCAGAATTTCCCAGTCATCTGACGGACAGATTCACCTGCTCACCTCTCTTATTTCCATTCTCCTTTCCTGCCAACTTATACACCTGTCCCTCACTTCTCTGGTGTTGTCTGCTGACGTCTCATCGGAACAAGTGGTAACCTGTGGTCTGCTTGTCCATCTGACTGTTTGTAAGACTGGTCCTGTCATTTTATCCATTTAAATTCCTTCACTGCACCCGTCTACCCATGTGTCTGTCATCGTACACACCTGCGCGCCTCATATGCTACGGACCAGGTTATGTTTGAGATAACACTTGACGACAGGGGTCAGAGGAGAGCGACAGACTGGAAGTGACAGACTGATCCACAAAAAAAAAGAAACTACTTTCCCACAGACGAAATACATCATCATGTAGTTGCATCACCCTGGAGTCTTTGGGCCAGTATTGAAATCAGAAATTAAGTGACAATTTGTCCATTTCTGGGTGAACTAAATATGTGTGAGTACATGTCACTGTTTATAAGAGTATACCCACTTCTCCAGGCAACACTACATCACTGATGAGACACTACAAGTTTCCGGAGATGTTCCTCCTCAGAAAATGTAATGCAATACAGTGCTTGGTGAGTGTATTATTACTTTAGTGAATACTGTCTTTTAAAGCTTTTTTTAATGTTTAATTACAATGTTCTTTCAAATGTGAGATTTATCTTCCTTATAGAGAGCATTTTGCATTCTTCCATATTGTCAGAGCATTTTTAGGTTCAATTACTGCAATGTAAACTCACAACTTTGGAGCTTTTCGCTTTTTAGAGCAGCAGATGAAATGCTGACTCTCCCTGGTGGCCTCGCAGTCTGTCAGTCGGTGGCTTCTCTTGGTTTGTGTCGGATCAAGATCAGTCGTAATGAGCTCTGACCAGAACAGACAGCACAAAGCCGACTTCTTCAAAGAAACAAAAAGCTCACAATGTCGGATTTCTCCATGTAACCAACTGTGAGCTATGATCTCTTAATTATTGCACTTATCAAATCTGCTCCATTCATAATCACATGTTACGGAGGAGAGAGGCCATGGGAGGGTGTTTAAGCCTTGAGAACTAATTTGATTGTACAGAGTGTTGTGCCTTTCAATACAAAGGAGTCAGTGGGGAATAAAACTGAACTAATGATAAACACTGAAAAAGTTATGAGAGTAAATGAAAATCTCTGCCGTGGGCTAAAACAAACAGAACAAAGAGCTGATGGTACAACAGGGATTAAAATTAAAGACCAAGAGTCAGCGGGGCCCAGTGGGCTCATGTTGAATCAAAGGTTCAGACGGATAACGAGTCATGCAAAGTCAATCAATAAAAAAAACAAAACCAAATCTCAAACTGACATGCAGGATATCAGTTTTTACATATTTTAAGGAGTTCTGCTGCCCAAAGGGAGCGTGTTTTAATAATACCAAAAATAATATTACATAGTGGTAATATACATCCACAACTGTTGGAGAGCGGGGTCAGCTCAAAGCCAGTACATGGCTGCCAACATCAGGCTAAAAGCCATGTTCTCCAGCTGCAGAGGCACAGGCTGCAACATTGGCAGCAATGCTTTTAGGAACTGGAAAGAACCCACAATAGAAAACTTTAACTTGTAAAGGCTATAAATAAATACTGAACTGCCGTGACTTCTGCCGGAGCAGATTGCAGCAACAACTGGGTTTTAATGCACTTTAACTTCTGACATGTCAAAGAGACATCGTTAAATATGATCATTAATGAATTAAACATTAAGAAAACTCTGTGAGACAAACCGTTGACCAATGCCAAGTTCAGATAACATGACTTTCAAAGTCGTCTGATGCCTGAGCAGTTCACACTAGATGACTTGGTGTCGTATGCTTCTTGGTCATTGTGAGTTCATACAACATAAAGTGACTGGTGATAATGGGTCACACACTACACACTTTCACCAGGAGACCCCCCCGACTGGTATGTCTGATCTCCAAAATACGTTTTATCACGAAAACACGAGCCACAGTGAGTGGGACTGATTCTGACCTGAGAGTGACACATGAAGCTGGAGGAGGTGAAACAATTCTGTGGACATCACATCACAGCTGTATTGAAATAGCAAACACACAGAATTTGTTTTTACTCAGATTTACCCCACTGCTGAATTAATTTATTAACTTTCATAAAAACAATTAGCAAAACCTTACCACTACATGTAGCTCTGATTGGCTGTAGATGCTGCAGAGTCTTCTAGATATTTAGCCTGAAAGAATCTAATCTGAGTCTGCAACGTATCGGCGAACATTATGAAGAGTATCTTTTAAGAGTTTGCATGATTCTTTCCCTCCTATGGGCCTCAGCCACTTACCAAACCCGACTGAAAAATCAGGATACAAATACATGAAGCAACCCAAAAGCATTGCTGGCAATCGTCATTGAGCTTTTGCCCCATCACAAATACTTTAATTAGACACTGCAGCTGAAACAGGGTATTTGAGCAAATGCTTCATTTAGAGAAAATGTTTTCATCCACAGTCTTGTGATATTTAGGGACAATCTATGAAACAAAGATGTGTTGGTGTTAAAAACTGTGTGATTTCTGTGTAATGTGTGAATAATAGTGGCCGTTATTTCAGACAAACAAGACAAGGTTCTCTACATTTTTCTTCATGTAGTAAACCATGATTTTCTTATTTATAATTATTGCTCTGATTTGCACATCAAACTACAAATTAATACGAGTATAAAAGAGAAGTGGATGTTTTGTTCTTTCACTCCTACACACATGAGACTCCCAGGTTTTAATTCTCTTACATTCTCTCCATGATCCATTGGGGCAATGCAGCTATTCTGATGTTTTATTCCTGCTTTGTAGCAGATAGGCAAATAAAAATACATTTTAATTGCAATCATACAATATTATATAATGACATTCTGTTATTTTTTTCCCTCTCAGATTGCAGACTGACCGAAACAATTTAACCGAGAGGAGCAAGAGATCAGGAGCAGCGGCAGCGAGGGATTATAAATGACTGTTGGCCCTGCCACAGCCCGGAGACCGATCAATACTGTAGATGTGAATCTTGGTCATTATGGTTGACCGAGAGCCAGTTTGGCACAGAGGGATCGGTCCCTGCAATGATCCTCATTAGTTGCTGTCACTCCCTCGGTGTAATTAATATGCTAAAATGAAAAGCAACTGTTCCGCTTTGACTTGTCATTTCAATATCACTTGCGGGATCCTATCAAAAAGGAGCCAAATTACTTTCGATTTTTCCATCGTGAAAGCCACATTCAGCCTAAACACCTCTGTTTGTCCTGCGTCAGCAGTGTGTTTACTTTGCATGATCTCTGAGACGTAAATTTTAGAATCTTTGTCGAGGGACTCTGGTTTTAGGAGGTGAAACAAGAGTTCAAATGTGTAGCGTGGCCACAATAACAGACTCATAAAAACAGTGTGATGTAATTTGCTTTGCAGTGCACAGACTTTTTGTCTGCTCTTAAAAAACCCATGGCACCAACTAACAGATTTGGAATAAGAGACATGACTGTGAGGTAGGTGTGGTCGCATCCAGCTGCAGGACAGAGGTGTTGAAGTGGTTGAGGAGAGCGTCACTATAAAGCCCTTTTTCCACAGATTGTCTTCAATTCCCAGGTAAAATGACTCTGCAGTAGACATAGGTTTTAATCGGCTCCGATAGGCATGTAATGGAAACGTGATACTCTGATGAACAACGGTTTTTGGAGCATTTGTGATGTCGAAGAAAAACTCCTCTACCAGCAATGGAAAGGACACAATCACATCTTTAAGTGGGTTTACACACAATTAAAAAACCTGTGTACACCTGTTTATTTTGTTATAAATTAAGTAAAAGTGAGTTGATTAGCAAAGCGGTCACTAGTTATTCAAACACTCCGTCTTAAACACAGTAACATGCACATGTACCTGGGAAAAGCTCCCACTGATGCCAATGGACAGACGCGCCACAGGACGTAAGGTAAATTTGAGTTACGTACTGAGGTAAATCAATACGAAATTAGTTTGTGAGCTAAACAGCAAACTGCTCAAATCAAGTCTCTTTCTTTTCCTGTGAACTTCAGATAGAATGTAGGCCACAGTCAATAAGTGTGTTTTCATAATGACATTGCAGGCTGGATCCTACTTCACAGAGGACACTTCGACATGTCACAGAAGGAAGATCTGCAGGTTTAAATAACAAAAATAACAGCGGCCTAACTGTCTTTAGTTGCTACAGATTCAGGGTCCTGATACCATGTAGTCTCACTGTCACACTGACATGGCTCACTCAAACACTTGAATACAACACAGCCATTAGAAATGTTCAGTGGCTTTTTCCACTGTGTCAAGTCAAAATGTCGCCTGTGCTAAAAGTCCTGTATGAACCTCTGGAAGCTGTTGACTATCAATTACCTCCTCAGTCACTAACATGGACGAAGTGATGAAGAGGAGGGGCATGTTTTTATGCAAGATGTTGTGGAAAAGTGACAAACACATGCCATTGAAATGCTGAGTTCACACCAAGTGCGAAGCAAATTGTTTGTAAGACACCAGCATATATGAAGTCCTTTCCTCCATTTTAATATTTTAAATAATTAACAAATGTATTGTGTATTTTTGCCGTTTGTGATTAGGTAAAGGAAGCAGCATAAAAAACAACTCATCTTGAATATCACCTTAACAAGATACCTGCTTTTATCGGGAATAATTTGTGCAGGTAAACAAGTCCGATGTCACAGTCTCTGTCAGACTCTTAGATTTTTCGCTGCACCATTTCGTCGGCTCCCTGTCGCTATTTCGGGAACAAAGCAGGTCTCCATGAAAGAAGTGGAAGACGGAGTGACATAGAAAGAGAAAGCGAGAGAGACAGAGAAAGCATGTGCATACGTATATCACACCTTTGTGTCCCCGCTGGCACATGTGCCTGTATGTTTCTTCTTTTTCCTCATCTTGGATTTTTGAGTCACAACTTTCCTTGTCAACGAGACACATTTGGGCATAAAGCCACAGTGAAGGGCCCGGCTCATCTAAGGTCCTTGCTGCTTGCCATGATACATTTTCAGTAACCTTTTAAGAAAGGCCTGAGATTGTTTAGGATGATAATTCACTTTATGTGCAAAATTAAAGCATCTCTCTAATGCATTGATGAGAAGTCGAGAGAAGAAGTGGCCTTCCTGTTAATGTTAATCTATCCTCACTCATCCATCAGCAGTGGGCATCACGTCAAAAGTGTCCTTGAGCTTCAGGGCCTCTTCTACCTAAATGTAAAAAAAGAAAAGACAAATTCCTGAATATAAAAAGAAGACTCAAAAAAATCCAATTCATATTCACCTCAGTAGAAAATATCCTTCTTTAATCGCTTCTCCCTCCACTTCATTTACCGTCTATCCCTCCCTCCATTAATGAAGCTCGTTTAATAGGTTAATTTAATAAAGGATCAGCACTTTAACTCACATAGAAATTGTCAGTGTGTTAAAAAAGAGGAGAAGGTGAGCAGTCAGTGTTTTATCCACCATGCTGTAAAATAAGGGATTTCATCCAATACCAGTGATTGGTCATCCTCCCTGAAAATTACCCTTCCTCCCTCCATGAGGGGATCTTCGGTTGCTGTGGCACACTGAACAGTCTATGACAATTTCCTCTCAACACACAGACAATACTATACAATTTCAACAGTGTTGACAAGAGGTGTGTATATATATATATATATATATATATATATATATAAACCCTTTGTGGATGAACAGGTGGGTTCAAAATCTAGTCAACAAAACTTTTACTTTAGGTTGGCATTGGACTTCATGGGGCTAATGCCCCCCCCAATCATACATCTGTCCAACTCTGCAGATAACAACACACAGTCACTTACTACAAGCTGGTGTCCAGCTCCTGCTCCATGTGACTCATGGACACAAACGGGTGCTGGAGAGCTGCAGCAGAAGTGATCCTAAGCGCAGGGTCCATGTGCAGAAGAAGTTTCAGCAGGTTGATGAAGGCTCTGCGATCCATCTTCTCAATGGGATCCTGGATCTCTGGGTAAATCTAGATTTGAAACAGAGGATCATTCAGTTGATCTCCTTCCTTAACAACAGAACTCTGCGGATGGTGGTTCAATCCCAGTTTCCCCTATTTTTTGTACTAAAGTGTCCTTGGGCAGTTTGTCAGTGATGTGTGATCGAGAAAGTGCTGCACATATAAACCTGAGTGTGTGAATGGGTGAAAGTAAATACAGACCATTTAACATTTTTATGAAAAGGAGCACTTACAGTGTCAAGCTCACTCAGGGAACTGACTGTCTGCCGCATGTTTTTAGGCTTAATTCCAGTGCCCTGCATGTATTCCCATGGGCTCTGCAAGAACAGAACTTATATCAGATACATCTTCTTAAATGTGTCATCCATTTCAAACTGTTTTCTGGTTAGGAGATTAAAATTATATCAACAGCTACAGTAAAAGCAAAAAAAAAGGCTTCAATACCTTCAGTGACCATTTTCCCCGAGGTTTGTTCGCCTTGAAGAACTGATAGGTGTATTTCCCTGCATTGAGGAGTTTGTCATCTGGTTTGCCCAGGACATTGACCATGCTCCTCATCTGGAGAGAGATTATAAAGAATCACATCAACCCACATTTGTCTGGTGCTGTGCAATCCAATCTTGATATATTACGTGACTCACCATCTGATACTCGCAGCCCATATCAAACAGTTCCTTACTGAGGTACAAGTAGGTCAGAATACACCCCAGACCCCACAGGTCAACTGCTCCGGAGATGGGGAGGCCCAGGGAGACTTCAGGTGCCCTTTTTGTAGAGGACAAGACCAAAAAGAGCACTTAAGTACATTTTTAGATTCAACATGTATATAGAAAACTGAATCAACAATCATTAACAGCCCTGAACTGCAAACATGTCCAAAGATGATCTTTGCAGATTGAACCGACCTGTAACCCAGAGACTGCATCACCATCCCGCGTCTCACTTTAGAGGTCCTGAGGGCCATGCCGAAGTCTATGAGTTTGACGCGGAATGGCTGGTCCTTATGGTTAACCAGCATGATGTTATCTGGCTTCAAGTTGGTGTGGATTATACCGAGTCCCCTCAGGGCTTCTAACGCCGTCAGCAGCTGGAGGGACAGGGGAAGAAAGGTAGATTAAAGGCACTGTTGACCAGCGTGCAGATGTGTACAGATCAACAAGAAACATGATTTAAGATGTTTAATATGTAAATCCTGAGTATACTGCTAATACTCATCTATTATACACTGTTTGTGTAAGGCCGTAGTGTTTACCTGCTGCGTGATCAGCTGTATCTCACTGACAGACAATGGTATGTACTTTCTGTTTTTGAGAAGCTGCTCCAGATTCATGTCCAGCTTTTCAAACACTAGATAGGTGTGTTGTCCCTGTTGTAACTTCTCATGGAAGTGCACCACGTTGGTTTTGACTGGGTCCAGAATACTCAGGACTTCAATCATGTCTATCTATTAAAAGGGAACATGGATAAGGGAAAGCTCTGAATCAGTAGTTCATTAATTCAATAAGACAAAATGTTACAAAGCCTTGAAGTAGCACTGAAAGACTTACCTCTTTTTCTGTGATTTGTGTTTTCTCAGTTTCTAAAATTTTGATGGCAACATCCTTCTTTGTGGACAAATTCACGCCCTCGGCAACTTTGCCGAAGGTTCCTTTGCTAATTATGTCCAGGATGTTGTAGTTACTCGTCTTGCCTTTCAGCAGGTGGACATTTTTTTCGCCTGAATTCTCTTGTTTTGTGAGAAAGAAGGAGAATGTGTGAATGTCACATATGTGAGTCGTAGGGTTTCATTCAGTCAATAGACCTACATGATGCAAACATGCAGCTCAAGCATGAATTCAGTTTATGTAGATAAATGTTTGGTTTCTGTTCGATGACCACATGAAGACAAGGAACTGAATATTACCTCATGACCATTTCAATGAGTTATACTCCAAGTAATTAAGAAGAGGGATGTCATCGCAAGCAACTATAGGCTACAGATTTTTTAGGAGCATAAATACAAAGTAAGAACTCATAATTACACACACAAGTCTCGCATTTAAAATTGTATTTAGTGCATACAGTATCAAAGTATCCATTTCTGGAGGCAGGATATCACTGTACCATATATAGTACTAAAGCATTTTGTTACTGAGTAATCAACATGTGTGTTTGTATCACAATGTATTGACGTTTAAAGGGATAGTTGACAAAAAAAGTTACATTCCCTCATTATCTACTCTCCACTATGCCGATGGAGGCGTGGGTGAAGTGTTTGAGTCCACAAAACTCTTTAGGAGTCTCAGGGGTAAGCAGTGTTGCAGCCAAATCCAATACAAGTGAAGTAACTGGTACCCCTTATTTAAAGACGTAAAAAACCATAAGAGGCCTCCATACTGCTCAGAGTCTGTAAGCTCCGACATTCATATCCAACTCAAAACAACATCATTTAAACCGTGTTTTTAGCCTAAATGTCCACTACTGGATGTAGCAATGTCAGCAGATGCAGCCATGATAGCAAGGCTAGTGGAAGTAGCAATGCTAGCTGATGTAGCTTCAATGTCCTCTGATAACCTCCTCAGAGCCACGTCTGATAGCATCGCTACATCCGGTAGCATTGCTATGTCCACTACCTTTGCTAAGTCGGCTAGGATCGCTGTCTACTAGCATCGCTGCGTCTGCTAACATTGCTACACTTTAAGGCTTGAAACACGGTGTACATGATCTCGTCTCCTGTCAATTTAAATGTCAGGGCTTGCTGACACTTGGATGACACCACACGAGCAGTGTGGAGGCATGTTATGTTTTATTTCTGTTGTTATTTTACGTCTGAAGAAGGTGTCACTTCTTCAGAGGTCACACTGTTTACCCCTGCGACTCCTAAAGTGTTCTGTGGACTAGCTAACTAGCTTCAACTTTCAAATAAACATAGAAGAGAAGAAATTAAGAAATTACCCTCTGTGTTGCTACAATTTATGCTACTTTATACTTAATCCACTACATTTAATATACAAACATGTACAGGACAGTAGCCTAATCGAGTACACTTACTCATTTACTAAATTACCAACACACTGTTCATGTGTGTTTGTTTGCATTGGACTTACTTCGATTGTCTGCTGCTGTATAGGCAGCTGATATTGGATCCAAAGGCATTTTGATGGAGGGAAATCAATCTTTTCCACAAAAATGTCGGCGCTGAATCGTCTTCAGAAATTTGTGTTGTTCACAGTGTGTTTAACTGAGGTCATGTGAGATTTTAACTTCTCATCATCTGTATCAAAGCCACTAAGTCATCACTATTAAAGTCAGCACATTCATTCTTTCCTTTAATCTTTTAATGTTTTTTGTATATTCTATATAAATCTAAACTAGATGCAGACTGGTGGAACAGTTATATCTGCTTAAAGTAAACTACATGAATTTGCTATAAATTACGAATTCAACGTTATATAATGTATATAAATGCTAAATAAAGGGAATCAAAGTTGAAACCTCATGATGACCCTTCAGTCAATCTCTTCCCTTCCAACACTGGTGTATGTTTTAGAAAAGAGCTGAAAACATTGAGCGTTAAATATATGCAATCATGGAAGTCTGCACACAGGCCTTCCCACACCCTCCCACATATATATATACACACACAGTGCTGTTGTCCCTCCAAGCAGTAAAACACTGCAGCGTGTTCATGGAAAGAGACGGATGAGAAACCATGGCGCTGTCTCCTTCCATCACTGAGTGTGTACAATCCAGTCGAGTGGGTGGGTTTAGGAGGGTTGTGGGGCTGCAGCTTTATAACACACACAGAATCAACAGCACCCTCATTTCAGCTAAACGTCTGGTGCCACCGATACCTACACACTCATCACAAGCTGTTTGTGAGACACCATGTGCCACCAAAAGATTCCAAATGTGGGCTCTTTATGTGATACTCATTTTTTCAAAATTAAGATGAAGCACGATTTAGGCCATTAAAGTATACACTAAATAATATACATGTATAAATCAAGATAGATAGATAGATAGATAGATAGATAGATAGATAGATAGATTACTTTATTCATCCCCGGAGGGAAATTAAGTCGTCAATCAAGTAGCACATCACAACAACTGCATCCTGTAGACTCTTGTTGTATGCACTTGCACATTTGGTTTCTTTTTATTAGCCCTGACCAACCCGGATAAACCATCAGTTCAAATAGGTTCTATGGTGTAATGTAAGTGCTCCTATACAAATTTTGGTTTTCTTCTTGTTTTTGTAACGCTGATAATAAAAAGAAATGCCTAAAATTTTAACAAATATTATAATTCCAAATGTTAGTGTGTATGCTGGGTGGGTGAGGGGGCACACTCAGGGCACTTAAATGTTCAGCAGCGGCCCTGCCCACTCCGCTCATGTGTTTGGGAGGCTAAGAGGACCAGAGGCCCACAGAGGTGATGTGGTTCTTTTAATTGAACACAGGTCATTTTGGTTTTATTAGAGGTTGGACAAAGGCTGTGTGAGAGGTTGTTCCACCACCTGTCCTGCCCTCACCTCAGTGCTGTTGTCTTATAGCTTTTTACCACATGCTGCAGAAGGCTGTGCACTGTGTCATATAAAAGGTACAGGGCTGAGAGTGTGATGAAATGGAGGAGCTAAAGAAAGAAAATGTTTTTTGTAACAAACTAGGGAAATCCTAGATTTTGTGAGGCAGTGATACAAGTTCTGTGTGTTATTACTCTCACATTAACCTTAAGGAGACAGAGAATGAAAATGTGAGTGGACATTAATTACAAAAAATTATGTGCACATTAAATTCAAGAAGATTTATTGTCATGAGGTACATAAGAGGGAACGAAACTAAGTACTGATGTCTCGATAAGCAGCAAGAACAATAGAATCTAAAACTAAGCAAACTGAGTACTTACTTACAACTGCAACAGACACAGGGCAACTTTGTCACTCATTTGTAGTCAATGCTTCTGTACAACTTAGAAATGTAGCCCCAGGGTTCACCCTCCTTTAAGCTTTGTTTTGGTCTCCACCAACTCCTGTGAAAAGTATCTGACTCCTCAGCTCCTAGATGTTCAACTTCTTCCCAAAGCTAACAATTCTGGTCAGTCAATTTGTTTGGTGCCCAGCAGATAAGTGGATTCATCAGAACCTTTTACCTGAAAAAATGTTGAGACTGGATTTGATATGAAACAATTAATAATAATAAATAAACTAAAACAATTAGCAGGAAGCAGCTAGAAGCTAGAAGCTCTGGAGAACTGTGAACACTACAGTGGAGTGATAATTCTCTGTGGGTTTGTCACTACTCCCACTTTCACACCACCAGTGTCTTGATGAAATTTGCTCCACTGTCACGGAGGAGTATTTTTTGACATGCAAGCTCAGTAGCTGTTATGATTTGATCCATGAAGACCTTGTGAGCTTTCAGTGAAAAACGATTGAACTTGAGTTTGACCTTTTTGGTGAAACGACCACTTCCATAGTGAAGAATGAACTTTCAGCCAAGTGCATGATATGTGTTTCCTGATTAAAACATATCACTTAAGAAATATTAGTTTGCTTTAAGCCACTAATGCTGGACAGCTACTCTGAGTTTGGGAAAACATTGAGAAACCTTAGATGAGTCCAGTGTGCATGGTGGTCATACTGAACACAAACCTGCTTCGATGCTCACATGGAGATACAAGGTTTTCACTGGAGAGCAGGGAACGTATGTAATTGTTTTGTTGAGAAAAAAAAAAAACACCTTCACTCCTGCCAATCTTTCTTTAAGAGAGTCATGAATCATGATTGCTTTATACAAAATTATATGACAGCAATCAATGTCACTTTGCTGATGGATAACCTGAGTGAGGAAACTCTCATCTTCAGAAGGCAATAACATTAAAACTAAAGTCGTTAAGTTGTGATAAATGACAAGACGGTGAAGCACTCAGGAAGGCATTCACGTGCCAGCTCACACTGACTGATCCCCCCCCCTGCCACTTGAGGGGTTTATTTGCAGAGTAAAGCAGCCAGCTGGTTGATTCGGCTCTAAACCCATGTCAGCTGCAGTCAACATAAATCTGTGGCCACTCTTCGAGGTAATAGGAACCAGAGAATAGTCCAACAGGTGAAACATTACAGGTGAGGGACTGATCCACGGGGAGTTGCTTTTTAGCTGTCAGTAAACATTGACTCATACAATATGAGAGGAGAGGAGATAACAACAACACCATTCATGTCCTCGGGTTGAGAAAAAGTACAGATGGGTGAAGGTGGTAGAAAATGTGAGAGGGGAAGCCGAGGTTAAAAAAGGTGAGAAAATGAGGCTGTATATGCAAAATAAAAATGTGTTCTAGCCAATTTATCATGAGTACTAAAGGTAAGGGTTAAAGAGAGAGTGTCACAGGATGAAAGATTAGGACGGAGAGGGGTCGTATATGAAAGCAGAAAAAAGAGAAAAAGACACTCTAAAATGTTCTTTATATAAAATACAGATTGTGAACTGACTGATGTGATGACCATACTTGGACAGGCTTTTTTCTCCAGTTTTGAACCGAAACATGGCAACTATGCAATTTGAAAGTACTGTTTAAAAATAATGGATTTAGAGGAACATATTTACACAGTACCTCTACAAAGAGTCTTATCAGAGAGATTTTCAGAGGATGAGTCTATTGTCACAACAACCCTAAAAGCTTAGGGCTGCAACTTAAGCTATATAATTTTAGCCTGTTTATTTACATCTTGGTAAATTGGCAGTAAAAAACATCATTTTAGCTATTTTTATTTCAGTATCACTTGAGCTTCACTTTCCAAGCAGATTTGTGGATGTTTATTCATGATGGACTTTGAGATACTGAAATCCTTGGAAAGAGTAAATATCATTGAATTTAAAAACTATATGTGCATCATGTCTGCGTGTTCAGACCTGACAGAGTCATTGCTCGAAACACTGACAACAGAGTTTGGCACAAATTGCTGCAATCGGACTCTAAGAGATTCAAACTCGTCTGCCGTAATTACCTCGATGTCTGAGTGTCACAGCCACAACTGCACCTCCAACTGTTGACCAAAGTGGATCAAATCAATGGGCCAAACTACAATAACTAACTTCCTGCTGTTCTCCACTTTCTCATCATAGAGTATCTTTGCCTCATGTCTCTCACTCCATGCCTCCACTTTAACTCACCCACTGTCTGAAAATGTATAGCTGACTGTCGAACACAGTACTTACCAATGTAGAGTGCATTTATTCAAATATTCAAACATTTATTATAGCAAATTTCTGATTTGCTTCTCTTTTAAATTCACTAATAATCACGGCACCTAAATAAAATGAAATATCAGAAAATAGGTTTAGGCTAATCACTAAAACAAGGTTTTTTAAATAGCTTATTTGTATGTCCCTATGTAATTGTTTACTCTTCTGTTTCTGCCTTCTATAATTCAAACTTGATAGCAATTTAAATGAGTGTCAACCCTGAATTATTTCTTAAAAATAAAGGTTTTCAAATTGTTCTCTTCATACAAACATAAAAAATATCCATAACATCTCAGTATTTATATAAAAATAGGATTTTCTTTTCTAACTTGTGTTCCGGAAAAACTAAAAATCTTCGTCTACGCTGTCTACATCTGATTCGTTGTTTTCCAATACCTACAGATTTTATATAGAAGGAAAAAACTGAGAGGAAGTGGAAACAGAGATAAAACAAATGACATTACAGAGGAAGTATTGCTGTCACTACAATGAAGATTAAGAAAAAACCTGAGAATCTATATTATCTTTTTTTCATCCTTTACGATTGACAGTAAATGCCTTGTCTAGTGGTCCCCCATCTACCAGCACCCTGACAATCCAAGCTGCCTGTTTGATGCGTGACAAACTTGTTACATCCACTAAGAAAAACTCCCAGTTTACATCCGCTGCCATATGTTGATTGGACACACGCTGCGTTAGTCTTTGTTGTTAAATTGGCCCACTTACAACCTCCAGACATGGTTTAGATGATTGGATCTGTGTCCTCGGAGCATCTACACTTTGATTTCATGCATTTTTTCTCTTTGTGATTACAATTCATCGTTTAATCAGATGCAAATTACAATGTAAAGTGTGACACCCTTCTTGGCCAGGTGTGATTAAAGGTGTCAGCTCTGTGGATTGGCCCTGTGGTTG